ACTGTGAAAATAGATAGACATGGCAAATTATTACTTGTTCTGAATTGAACCCAGATGATCATTTGAATGTCGATAAAACCAGGCTTATTAGGAAATAAAGTGGAATTCAGACGGCCCCTGAGTACCCTTTCTACTGAAAGGTAATTAGAAACTTTTTTGAAGTTTTTATTCTATTATTTTAAGGCATCGAATTATTTAAATTGAATTAAAAAACAATAAAACTCATTTCTAGGATAAAACCTTCCATTCAATTACAATTAAAGTTATAAAATTTCTACTATACATATACTAGACATATAGATCAAAAAAAGTTTCTAGTCTTCATGTGTTTAGCTAAATTAATCCCAAAAAGCACTTTTAATTTGTGTAGGGCAAATCCTGATACGAAACAAGCCTATCTGACATATTCCTTCCTTTTTGAAATTTCTTTTGATGTTTGTCTCAGAAGCTTTTATCTATAATAAATTAGAGTAGCCTTCTTGTTTTAAGAACCAGTCCAATAGGTATTTTCTTTTGATCTTTGCTAAGTAATTTTCTCCTAAAAAGACATTTTCTTGTAGAAGAATCTTTGTAGTAATATGCAACACTAAAGTCTTCCATAAATTCTTACGGGTTAGGAATTTATAAAATAAAATTGTCGTGTTTTTGAAAATATAATACATCATGGCGCTAATTTCGAAAATAATTGTCGAAGCCATAAAAATGTTGGAATATTTAGAGGAAATTATATACGACAGTTAACAAGAGCTCCCCTATTTCCAGTTATTTATCGTGATGTGCACCAGTCCGATATTTCAGAATAAGAAATAACTACGAAGTTTTTGAGATGTGGTTACAATAATCCATAACTAAAAATTGACAACAAAAAAAATCCTGATTTTTATAAAACATGTATAAATAATTTCCGATAACTAGGTACCTACATAAAAGTTCGGAAATAAGATAAGGTAAAATGCTCATGAAAGAATAGATTCTCATATATTGATTTTAGTTGAATGGTCGAGTATTAACAGTTTCTTCATTTAAATAAAAACCTACTGAAACGAATAAGTAGGTAATTTATAGGCGAAGAACAGAGTTGGTGAATGGGACGTTCAAGTTATCCTTGTTGAGCCCTTTCCGTGTCCTTCAGATTTTAGAGTCATGTGTAAGGTAAATTTACCCAATTTTTCGTGATTACCGGTCATTTTACATATATTTTCGATAATTTTACGAGGATTTGAAGTCCACCTGAATCGCTTTTGCGTGATAAAAAATATTCATTATGTATTATTATTAATCCTATTTAATCGAACATCCTACAAGGATATTCATTATTATTCATCCAACGAAAATTTAACTGACATATTTGTTAGATTAAGGTTTAGGAAATAGTTAATCATTGACTTTCTAATACTGGGGAATAATATTAAGCTTCCCTCCATCAAAGCAACACAGACCAACATAGTTCAACTTTTTTTGCTCAACTTTGTAGGATATACAAAAATGGGTGGAACAACTTTGGCCAACAGAGTGTCTCCACAAGAACCACGTAATTGCTTGGTGTTGATACTGGTCTATACACAAACGGAACACACAAAACTGTACCCGCTTCTATTAATGAATTAACAAAAAGCCCATAATATGCTCGGTTTGCTCAGCTAATAATTATTAGGGGTGGGTTGATAGTTTTTAATAAGTACAGTATGGCAAGGGCGCCACTGAATTTAAAAATAATAATAATAATAATAAAATTGCATAAAATATGGGATGTGAAAATTCAGAAACACACCTAGAAAATAATCAGCAAATGGTAATAGGTAATTCTGGAAAAAAAATAAATAATGCACACAACTCAAACTCGACGTATAGGTAAACCAATAAAACAAGTAAAATTTTAAATTAAAATAGTATATATTTTCAGAATGAGGTTGAAAATCAAAAATTAAATAATTTCCAAAATATAAAATCCAATACTGGTAAAACACTTTAGGTCAAATCAGTAGAAAGAGGTTAACTTTCAATCAGATTCGTCAAGCTCAATAAAAAAATAATAGTATAAAAACTATGCGCTTCAATATACTTGCCATATAAATTCATTAGCAGTCGCTGGCCATATCATCAATTTGAAAGGAAAATATAAAGATTTAAGTTTCCAGAAAACTAATTTAAAAAAATAAATGTTTGAAAATTGTATTGATAAATATGGTCAGCTTCTGCAAAAAAATCAATTCAATAAAATCAAATTGTACCTGAAAGAAATCGAAAGTTGGGCTATATAACCGTTAAATGGTCTGGAGATATAATGGAAATCCTCAAATATATTTAAGTTGAAGGAGCTCGGGTTAAAAATTGATCAATTTTCGACGGTAGGCTATTACTCAAGAATTTTAAATTTAGAGCATGTTGTCCAACCTTGACCTTTTTTTCAGATTACATATTGATTATTATTGATAAAATTGATAAAATATAAGGCAATATTAAAAATTATGGATGAAACCTAATACAAGCCTCCATTCCAACATAAGGTAGAGCACGGGAGCCATCCATCCTCGGTCACTTGACGAAGGGAACCGCACATGGAACTTGCGGATTCCAGCCCAGAATCCAGGCAGAAAAGGGACTAGAATCGTCGTCAAATGTGGGGCACACGTATCGACTTGTGAGAGTCTTGATTTTTGTAGGGTAGGAATCCCTTCAAAAGCTCTATGCCACACTCCACGGAAATGGTGTTCTATTGAAAAGGTGGCCTTTTTGGAATGGACTTGTTAAGCTCTCCGAAAGAACCTTCCTTGAAAAGCTATTACTTAAAAAGAAATTTAAAAAACTTACCACGAGGTGGGTTGAAATTCAAACACTAAATAAATGGTAATCACAAGACTTTTTGATTCAAAATCTTTTGCAATTAACAGATTATTGCCTCACGCAACTTAATTTTTTTGAGATAAGGTAATGCCTGAAGGCCGATAAGGTACTTTATTTTTCTACGTCACGGCTGTTTCGAGAAGATGGCGATTTTCAGCCGATCGACCTTGCAGCTCGACGACACAATAGACCTATTTAGACTTATTTATTATTTTTCATTGGCTAACTAGTACAGGTGTGAGGTGTTCGCATTGCACGCTGGGCATCTCCTTGTCCTTGTTCATTACCCGAGCTCTGACAATAATAAAAGTACGGTTGATATTCAACTTGACATAGCTTGACAAGTGACATTCAAAAGTTGTTTGAAATTTTCATTGACAAATACGTTGCACAACACGCGGTCTATCTCCTTCCCTTTTTAGCCCGTGCAAATAAGAAGGACGGATTGCTATACGTAAGTCTAACATAATTTGGTCTCGTCTTGCGCAATGAGCGCTCTGTGGCTTTTTTTATCTGATGAAGCTTTCGTAATATTACCTTTTTGTCTGGTAAAATAGATAGGTCTATTCCAAAAGGGAAGAGAATTGAAATCGACAAAATGAGCATACAGCGCTTCCTCTCAATGGAAAACGTTGTTGCAGTACGTCAAATTTAAATGAAAATCGTACCCTCTATTTTAATAATTCAATAATGGCTAAAATTATGAGTAGCAGGAACCCTCTATGTTAAATGTTAAGCCGGAGTCTCATGCAGCCGTTTTCCGACGAAAGATGACATAATCGTATACAAATATGTCAAAATAGAACGTTTTTCGGACATCTTTCGTCGGAAAACGGATGCATGAGACTCCGGCCTCAGTTACCAGACTGTCAACATTAAACAGGGTTATATAAAATTAAATTAAAAAAAAAAAAGGAATAAGTAACTTTACATGTTACAAAACATTCAACAGAAGTGCACGATATTTAAAAAACAAAATATGAACTGACAGTTGTACTTGAAAAGACTAACCTTGAAGCTAAATCTCAAAACTATGAAAATATGTACAGAGAAAATAAAACAATGTGTGGTCCTGGTCCTCGCTGAGGCTCGCGTCCTGGTGCGGTTGCTAAGTGGGCGGTAGTATGTGTTTTGTCTCGTCATCACGACGTCGTTGGTTGGGTGATTGGCTGCCTTCCTGCTTCAAATTGCCTCCCCAAGCAGGGGCGGTTTTCTTTATCAGTTGGTGTTTTATAACTGCTGGCTTCCTGCTTTGGATTACCTTCCCAGTCTGTGAGGTCTTCAATCCCTATTCATTTCAGGAGAAGAATATCTACTGCAACGCAAGCAGTACTTCAAATATCCGCTCTACCTACGTAGCGAAATCACGGCTATCCAAAACAAAAGAACACACATACCAATATAAAAAATAGTTGTTACGTCAGCCAAATATTTCCTAATGAACAAATCCGATCAATAAAATGAGGAAATAATACTTTTTGAGGTCCAAATCGATAATCGAGCAAATCCCGAATGCCGAAAGCACCTACATCTCAGACGAAAGCAGGAACATCAGACGGAGAACCACCGGATCAAAATGTTCAAATACTCATAGCAAACATCACCATTCAAGGCGCAATGGCAGCATTAAAAGAGGCATCTTTAACCCAATTCACCAACTTTCCATCCTTGCTGCTGAATTTTTAGGGAGTTACGAGGAAATAACAATAGAAAATGGATGGAATGATGCATATGAACATAACGTACTTAGAAACATTCTTAGATAGAGCTGCTGATAGTATATGGTTGCAGCAGTATTGTAACATTGCAAATGTTACTTCAAAAATGTCAAGGGAAGATATATATTCTGGGGAAGAAAAATTGGAGGTCCTTCTTTTTCTGCTGACTTCCTGGGCTTATGCCATGGATCGACGTTAGCTAAAATTTGAAAATCTAAAACCATCGCCCCGAAATGTGGTCCAAAAGTTTAAGTGTCTCGAAAAGCTAGTAGCTGATGGCTGTAGCATTGTCGCCAGTGTATTATTTTCTGGAAAGGCGTTCGATTGCCGGATTGATAAATGTTTCAAAATGTGTGAATTCCGCCTGCCATAAAGGTATGTGTATTTTAATTTTTCCTATGTCTTGGTATTAAATTCCTTTGTTTCCTTGTGAAACAGGCACTTTTGTGAAGCTGGATAAACAATTCATCTCAAGTTTCGAAACGAGTCCTTCAACTGGAAGATTATTGCTCGATTTTATCGAGGCCATGCCTCAACCTGTAAACCTGGTCCTACCTCAAGAAACAAGGTCGTCTTTGAAAGCCCTATGCTGGAGCCTTTGTGGCTTGCTCGTTGCTGATGGAGGCCTTTTGCTGAGGCTATGGAACCATGTGAGCGGGAAACTGATTTTTCCAGGCTTGTATTGTGCTGGATTTATTTACCCATTTTTCTCCTAATAATTTTCTAGCTTATCTCCTAATTTAAATGTTTTTATCGGGTCAAAAAAAGAATAATTTATGACTTACCTTACTGTATCGAGAAGCAAATTCATTCACTTTCAATTATTACGATAATATACTTACCGTGCTTCTCGAAAATTATATCTTGAGAATTACTGGATCAAAATCATCAATTAATTACATTCTGATTTTGTTTGATTTATGATTAAAGTTACCTTTATCGTTTCGTAACAACAGTTTCAAAAGATTGTTGTTTTAGTTTTAAAAAGATTAATTGATTGCCTTATTAATTATGTTGATTAATAATTGACTTGTCTCGCATAAATAGAAAAAGAGAACTTAATTGTAATAAATACAAGTTAGAAAGCAATAGAAGATGACATGCGCGCGCAACTCGTAGGTTCAGTGTAGCCAGATTGTATTGTTGCAGAACAAATGTAGACAAACAAATCCAACATTATAACATTAAAGAAGTGATATAGTGTCAAGTGTTTTACAACGCCTTAAATCAGACAAAAGAGGCGCTTGAAAAGTGTATGTTAACATCGTTTGCACTTTTATTTCGATAAATGTTTCATCCGGCAATATCGCACAATGAAATTGCAAAGGAATATGTCAAGTATAATCTAACATAACCTTAAACGGCACTGCGGTGAGTTCAAGTAATATGTAAAGTATTAGTTTGCTCTTTGTCGAATTACACGTTACAAAGGAAGAAGGAACGATTCATTCTGAACTGGCCCCTGAATAAAAATATGACGCGAGCCTGTAACAAACTTGCTTCTCATTGGACGCTCACCTGCAGCCTACAATCGAATCGCGCAGTCCAGGTAATAGGAGATCGGTCTATTATTTATATTTCTTGCCTTAACTGGTTTTTGATTCTCGACAATACCACCTTTAATTATTCAGGTTGGGGAAAGAGGGGCAGAACGGGGTAGCGGGGTGGAATGGAAAACCGTCATTAAAAGCGAACGTGCGTCCGGAAACATCCGAACTTGCACCAAATCTCACCTAAACGCATCAAATACGTGTCAGATACGTCAGTTGTCCGAAAAACGTCGAGCAAGGGTTTAGTCATTTTTATAATAGGTTTGGATAAATTTGTCGCGTTGTTCCGTGATGTATTGCTCCATGACTAATTTTGTCTATGTTTCTAGATTCTATTGCCGTTGACAAATACAGTGCCGTTCCAAAAATATTTGAGATTGTAATGTGGAAACTCAATTTAGAAGCCTATCAAAGAGTGCTAAACATAACTCAATAATTGAGCTGAAATTATTGGTATAGTTTGTAGCGCTACTTGGGTTTTCCGAACGGTTAAGGGGTTTTCGGAAAACTCGGGCGCCACCCTTAGGATTATAGTGGTTAAGGGCCCAGTGGAGACGGAAAATAGGCGAGGTCCCGCGGTCGTGGGGAACTGCAGCGGGTTGCAACCCTTCTCAGAATCTACTTTCACTCCGGGATGAGTCTCATAAAACCTGGTTGGTCGAACACGCGCTAATTTTCAACTAATTAAGTAACCGGGATGCACGGAAAATTTAGTAACTTCGTTACAAGTTTGGGCCCTAAGCTATTCAAGGCACTTAATCTACGGTCGACCAGTCACAATTTTAACAGACCACCACGCACTGTGTTAGATGGACATTTCCAAAGAAAGCAACAGACGTTTGACAACACTATGAAGTACTCAAGAGGCTCAAACCGATTGCACGTCCCGAAACCCAGTACTGCAATCTGACCCACATAAAAGTGAAGAACAAGAGGAACTCCCAAGGTTTGCGAAAAGAACAGTAGAAATGGGAACAATTCCGGAAAGAGATCCGGATTTGAAGGAAATTCGGAAGGCAGTAAAAACCACAAAGGATCCGGACATTGTTATTGGAACCAGAAGAAGGCCAAAAAATTTAAAATCTAAGACGATTTATTGTACAAAGTAGATACAGCGCAAAAAGGCCGGTAGTTGCCAAAATCAATAAGCGATGAAGTTTTATGACAAATGATTTGGGCCATACCTAGCGTCGAGAAAATTAGTAGAAATCGACTATGAAGTAGAAAAAATTGCCGGAGGTAAAATTTTCAAAGAAAGCCTAGCATTATGCAAAGAAAACAAATTAGGGTGCAGCAAGTATAGAGTTTTAGTGCTAAGCCCAGACATGAAGCGCCCTCAGCAGTCAAAGATAATTTAAACACTATACAGAAACAAAATTATTATATTTTTTTCAAATAAATCTTTGCCTGTGGCGCTATTTTTACAGTATTCCTTCTTTTCATTCCAAAAACTTATACGTCTCTCAACTTACCTGTTAGTCGAAAGAGAGATAAATTGGATATAAAAATCTTCAGAAAATCAAAAAAGTATTACCTATATATAATGTATTTATTGGAGACCCTAAATGGCAATTAATCAATAGAGGATCAAATATACGGGCCCAGGGATGGTGTAGTGGCTAATAAAGACGAGCATTGCAGAGTTATTGAAATTTGCAGCTTTCAATCTCTGAAATTAAATGCATTCCAAATTTTGGAATTAACAGAGTCGACCTTCTGATTATTTCCTTTAATATTTTGAAAATGTGCGATTGTTCTTTTTCCTTAGAAATTTTGTAGTGGTATTTTTTGAAAAGTCTGATAAGGGTGTGTCTGAAGTCGTCGCTGAATTGGATCACTAGGCGGCTGTTCGCATATTTAACAGGCACTGGTAGAAATTAAGCTTGAGATATTATTAGAGAGTATATAAGATGCGTTATCGATTTGATCCTAATTTCTAGCTTCATTCTATTGAGCTTCGAGAAGTAGGTCATCTATATTTTTGTTCACATCATCATACCGTTCACTTAGAATTCGGTAAGATTTGCCACAGTATCATCCACTTTGAGGAAGCTGGCTGACACATCATTTACTTCATCGTTATTCTGCCCTTTTGTTGTATTTTATTTTGATGTTGAATTCCTGTTCACGAGTTTCCATCTATTTGTTCGGCAAATTGGTTCTTTTATTTTAAAAAGTCAAACGATGGGGTCATGAACGGCGTTGATGACGTATTCGTGGATATATGGATACGAATTGACAAGAATATTGGGTGGAGTAAACAGGGTGTAGAGTAAAAATCAAACGAGAAGAAGCCACACGCGTTATCGTGTGTCTCACTTTAAATGAGAGGGACCCAGAGAAAAGGAAATCTGCCTTCTTTGTCAGCGCTGACATCAATGACTTCTTCTCGTTTAATTTTTACTCTATTAGGTTTGACTACAAAAATTTTAACACGTGAAAATATGGCCCATTTTGAACAAAAAAAGTTTATACTACATGGGGTTCAAAACTCAACCATTTTTAAGAATAAGCCTTTGAAGTTTTGACATTTTTTGACGAATATTTGAAAGATAAAGAAAATTTGAATTATTATAAGATGTAACAAAATGTAGTTCATTCAATTAGTTAGTAATTATGCATTTTTAGTCAACAACAATAATAAAAAAATTAAAAAACAACATGAAAATTTCACTTGTAAATAGGTATCCAAATATCTGGCAACATAGCACAACACACACATTTGATTTGTCTTATGTCAGCTAGTCGAAGCATTGGAAATGCGCGTAATTCATTCTTTTTTGAAAATAAAATGTTTACAACCGTCGAATCTGCAGATAATTGTTTAGGTAGAATCGTTGCAAAATGCCCATTTAGCCGCCAGAATTTACAGGGAAAGATTTCACCAAAAGCACACTCCTGATGAAAGAACATTGTGCCCGTTTTACAAAGATTGCGTGATACGGGAAGTGTTAGTGTGCAAAATCTTCGTGTTGATTTGAGAACCTTTCAACAAAAATTAATATTTCCATAATGAGGATTTGGCAAGTAGCTGAGTAAGTATTATTTAATTTTTCTCTTGGATGTTTAGTGCAAAAATGACATCGAGTGCAATTCACAACTTATTAAAACGGCACATTTTTAGCTTCCTAGATAGGAAGCCATGGTGATTTTGACCGTGTCAAAATTTCATTTAATCTTGACGTTTTGGATCATTTTAAGCCTTTTTGGCAAGGTGGCACATTTCCGTCTGTGTGTGTGTTGGCATTTTTCTGAGAAAACGGCTCGATGAAATTTGATGAAAAATCTCCTCTCAAAGATATGACGCCATTGATCTCTTTTTTTAAGAAAGGGGATAAAAATGCAAGTTATTATTTACATTATTTGAAAGCCAATAACTAACCAAAACGTAAACAGATGGAAATAACTTTTTACAAAAAAAAAAAAACCTTTAAATTTACGATAATACCTGTACGATGTTGTCACGTTGTTAACATTTTTTTAAATTTGAATTCTGCGATAACTGCGAAAATACTAACAATTGACCTATGGTTGATAGGACAGTTTTAGATTTCAAGCATGTTAAAATATTTGAACTGATACCTGATATGCCCTGTAATCTTCCAAATATTTTCAATAGTCGAATAGTTCCTCTCTGCAATGTTAAAGGTACAAGTGTAGTAGGCAATGGGGCGTGCATTTTGAGATAGCAACTATCAACAGCTGTGTCTGTGTTGCCTGTGAAGTGGTTAGTTTGAAGGTTTATGAGAAATCGGGTGGGACATAACGTCGGATACCGGACGGAAAAAATCTAGTTTTCAAACAAACTAAATATAAATTACCCAAAAAATTGAAAAAAAAAAAAATTCTTATTTACCAAAGTTAATAAAAGTGAAGATGTTTTTAAAAGTTTCGATTTGACTAGTTTACGTTGAAATTATCCCACTCCTAAATGAAGAATCAACTACGATAACAAAGGCCATAATGAGCCAGTAATTCTCGACAGCGTATCATAGTCAGACCAAAGGTGGATGCGAATGAAACCATAGAGTTTTCAATGAATACGCAACAATATATATTAACGATTCGCACACTGACTGAAACGAGTGGATTCCAGCTTT